AGGACCCATGGGTCCAGCTACAGGTATAGTGAAGATGACGTCTGGATCAGTCTTCCTTTGGACATTAGTAGGTCAGATACAACCAAAGGACAAAAAGACATGAGCAGTGAGAAAAAAATAAAAAAGTTAATAGACATATTCTGTGTCTAAGTAGAACAGAAATATGTAACTATTGATGGGTTATGAAGTCGTTAGATAATGACAATAAAGAAGGCAGGGGCCTCTGAAGGGAAGATTATTGTTACAAGTGTCAAATAATTCTCTGAATACAGCAGTGGGTAGTTACGCTACTACAGAATGCTACTACCACTTTTGTGTTCTATGATAAGTGAGAGATAGTAGAAAAAAAGTTTTAGCTTGAATGCTATCCATAAGGGGGTAGAAGTACCAATCTGGGAGTAGACTGGCAAAGTAGAGTAGATCTGGGGTGATATTATGAGAGTCCCAAAAAAAGGGTAGAGGTCAATAGAAAAAGAATGATGGGTGTAAAAGAATCCTAGAATAGGACAGTAATGAGAATAAGTGAGGGTCAACTGGTCATAGGCCTTCACTTTGGCTGGTGACCAAGGACAAGTGGGAGGAGACAGTGTTAGATGGTCTGCTTTTGAGGTTTTTAGGCAGACTGAGTCCCAAGTGGTGTAAGAGTCATATGAGGTTAGCAATTTTTAGACTCTACTTATTTAGAAAGAATGTCTCTGAAAGTTTTCTCCTCTTGTCTTTTAAGAGTTCTCATCTTCAGGCCGTTAAAGGAAAAAATATGTATCTATGGCTCATTCCCTAGTTTAAAAGTCCTTATTTTTATTCATAGCCAATCTTATCACATTCATACGAGAAAGACATTACCATTCTAGGAAATATGTAGAACATAAAATAAAAATCTTCATCCTTACCTCTAAGGACTTGAGAATTATGTATAATTTACCTTAAATCTGTGGGTCTTGGAAGAAGTCTTTTTTTTCCATTAAAGTAGACTTCAAAGTCTTCAGTCTTTAGCCTATGGGCATAGTCAATGTATCCCGATACCTCCTGCCCATGAGAATTCTTGTCACGAATAAAGATCACAGACTGGTGGAACAGAACAGAGAAAATGAAAAGTAAAGTGATAGAAATCATTTGAATACATTTTATATGATAATATACAGTTACTGTGCCAGTCCAATAGCCCAGTGATTAAGGGAACTGGATCCAACATGGCCAACTGGGCAGTTCAAATCCCAGTTGTGGCAGCTTGAAAAACACACTGGCCATATGTGCATGCACACCCCAAATCCCAGCAGGATGGAGAAATGAAAGAAGAGGATTGCAGAACGACCATGCTCCACTGAGGGTGCTTTGTCCTTTCCCTCTCTCTCCCTGTCTCTGGTGAGCACATGTGCCCTCCAGCAAAAATAAACAAACTACAGTTACTGAGTGTTATGTATGCCCCACCCTATTCCATATGCTTTACATTTCATCCTTACAATGATTCTATCAGGTAGGAACTATTATTTTCTCCTGGTAGATAAAGACACATACACAAAAGTTAATTAAGTACTCACATACTTCGTTATAATATGTACCTTTATAATATGTATCTGTACAATGTGCCTTTGCAATATATAAAGGTATAATTATGTACCCTTATAATAAATTAGTACAACAATATTAAATAACTCTTAGTTCTTCCTAAAAGTAGGCATGATTTTAAATGCTTAAAATATACTAATTTACTTTCCCTCCAATCTAGTTGCAATTGTTTTGATGTTATTTTTAGATACAAAATATGAAGAATGAAGAGGTTGAGTACCTTATTCAAGGTGTCACAGTTAATACATGGCAAAATTGAGATTGAAACCTGGCTCACTGTTTGTCCCTCTACCCACTACATTCTTTTCCCATCTGAGCTCCTATGTATTTTTGGTAAGAGAGCTATAAATGGAGTTCATTCATTTCATTACCATGAAAGTAAAAAATAAAAATTACATAAGTCAAAATTACATAGAAAGCAGTATTCTTTAATATAATTCTAATTTGTTATTTCCTTCACAAATATTGATTACCTACTACTGTTACTATTGTAGGTGCCAAGGATACAGAGATAAACAAGACCATCAAAGTCTTAACCTCTCAGAAGATATGTTCTGGTGAGGTAAGACAGATAATAGGCATGAAAACAGAACTAACAATATTTCCAGGGAGTGATAAATGTCATAAAGCAAACAAAGAATATGATTCATTAGAAAATATGTTAGCAGTGGTGAGGTTACCTTAGAAATCAGAAATCACCTTGAGGAACCTCATTTATGTTAAGAGTTGAAGAATGAGAAGGAATAAGCCGGATGAAAATCTAGAACAGAAACATATCCAGCAAAAGGAATCACTGGTACCAAGGTCTTATAAGTGGAAAGAAGGTAATGAGAATGGCAAAACTGTAGCCTTTCCTCCTTCGAGCCAACAGACATTACCCCCAAGTTCTAATGGAAAAAAGAGAAGGAAAGAAATAAAAACTTCCTGGAGGGACCAGCAGTTCACGTAATGGCTATGTCGCTGGACTCTCATGTGGTCAACCGCGGTTCGCGTCCCAGACCCGGTGGCTTAAAACTCACACTGGGCACGTGTGTGTGCGTGCCCAAGATCTCGAGATGAGAACGGAGGAGAGGGGATTGTGGCATGGCCGCCCCTCCTGGGGGGTGATTTCTCGCTTTCTGTCTCTCTGTCTCTCTCTCTCTGTCTGGTGAGTGTATGCACCCTTATCAAAAACTTCCCTAAAAAAAAAAAAAAAGAAAGAAATAAAAACTTCCTCTTTTTTTTTAAAATTTTGTTTTTGTTTTTAAACTCACAATAGAGCATATGTGAGAGAGAGAGAGCTGAGTTCTCTCAGAACCCCTCCACAGGGTCTGGTCATGCCATGATTGCTTTCCTTTGGTCCTCTAGCCCATGGAATCTTGGACACTCACAGGTGTGCACAGCATGTTTCTGGCCGACAGGGCCAGGGATTCAAACCATAAAATCATGTGGCATATAGCTTCTCTTTAGCACATATTACCACTATACCACAGAGCTGGCACTGGAAGAGTTCTTTATGTATTTATTTCCAAATCTACATCAACGTTTAGAATTTCATGGCACAGCCCTGTATTTGGAGAATGCTGTATACAAGACTTCTTGTTCCTCTTTACAAATTACTGGATTGCTATTTATTGGGTCTTTAAACCAGTTATAGGAAGTATTACTATGGGTGACCTTAGGTAGCAGAGCTTCCTAAGAATGAAGTCAGAAAAATGAAAAGAATTTCACTTCCTCACTGCACCTAGGAAAACATGTTACTAACAATATCACAGTTATGAAATGGAAGAATGGAGACCCAATTTCAACTAGTTGTTATGCTACTGGTAGATGTCACCTTGTCTGACTATACTCTGGCATTGGGTGTTGAGAATTCTGTGTTGAGAAGGATTCTGAGGCAGCCTCTGGGTTATGAGGAGAAAGTGATTGCTGACATTCCCCATAGACACGGCAGGAGGAACTATCATTCATTGCCTGTCCTATGTGCAATCTTATACAGATTCAATGCTTAGCCTTTCTTATCCCCTCACATAACTCCATGGCAAATTAGTACAGATTTACTATGCTTTTAGCCACTTACTTCTTACTTTCTTTCTTACTTTGTAGCACAAATTCGGAATGAACTGTAACTCAGAGACTTTTTTGAGTCTCTCACAATGCTAAAACAATAACTAGCACTGTTGTCCCTGCTATACAAGGATATGAGCTTTAACTAATAATGCATTCTAAAGGTGTTAGACATCTTTTCAACATCGAAGCTGCTCCTGATTTTAGGCAAGTCATACTGGGTCAGAGAGCAAGAGCGAGAGAAAGACAGCGAGAAGGTCTAAAATAAACCCTCTTTTCAAAGTAGAACTCTACTAGCAGAAGAAAGAAATCCCCCCACTGGCTCTCTCTCACTCCCCTTCCCCCTACCTCTAGAGACAACACAGTCTTATTTTTCCAGCAGAGTGGCAAAGTAGATATTGTGACTGACCTTCCTGCTAAACACAAATAAAAATTCTGTATAAAAACAAAAATCCTAGAATCAACTTGTGGAATGCTTTTATACCCTGGCAAGGAAAGAAGGAAAACTCAGAGTACAGAAACTAAGTGAAAGCAGCAATCTGGGGAGGGGAGCAGAGCCCTAATGTCATCCTTGCCCTGTGGGCAGCTGTCAGACTCAGGGAACTGGAACCAGGGTTTCATGACCTTGTGTGGTGGTGGGGAAGGTGTGTAGGAAGCAAATTCCAGCCTTTCAGTTAGAGAGGCTTTTAGGACTCACTGCCTCCATATAAAGGTAAGGGGGTGAGAGGAGAATGACATAATACCTTCATGAGTCCCAAGAAAATAAGAATCATCCCAGAATTGTACATCTAGAGAAAACATCTGCTAGTGAGCATCTTCTAGAAATTTCCAGATCAAAAAGTGTGAGAGATGTGACAAATAAGAGACTCTTGCTCAAAGTAATTCTTTTTTTTGGAGAGGTTTTTTTTTGTTTTGTTTTTTGTTTGTTTGTTTGTTTTGTTTTTGTTATAAGGTGCATGTGCTCGTCAGAGAGACAGAGAGACAGAAAATGAGAAATCACCCCCCAGGGGGGATGGCAATGCCCCAATCCCTTCTCCTTCATTCTCCTCTCGGGTTCTTGGGCATGCATGCACACATGCTCACTGTGAGTTTAAGCTACCAGGTCTGGGACTTGAACCGCGGTCGACTACATGGGAGTCCAGTGACATAGCCACTACGCTAACTGCTGGTTTGAAGAATTAGGCATATTTTAGCCTGAGTGTGACATATTTCAGTAACTGAAAGCTTTATTTGGAGCCATCTATTATCCTAAGAACTTTTAAATGTTATAAAACTGGCTCACACATGGCTGACTAAGGTTCAAATCTCACCTTCCAGCTTGAAAAACATGCTAGGCACATGTACATGCCTTCCCTAATTTCTAATGGGATAGAAAAATGGAGAAGGGATTACGGCATGACCAAACCCTATTAGAGAATACCAGGGAGTACTTTTCCTCCACCCCCATCCCCATCCTCTGGCAAGTGCATGCACCCTCTAATAAAAGAAAAGACTTTTGAAATAGGTCCTCATTACATCTCATGTGTTGGAAAGGATGAATTAAAATAGAATTTAGATGATTACTATATCATTTGTATCTTTGGCTGGCTGTTTGTCTTTTCCCAGAAGTAGATTAAAATACAAATTCATAAACTTGTTATAGTTGAGTACATGTGTTGCCTGATTTTTCTTGCCAAATACTAATGAGGAGACATAAACCTGATACATAGAAATTGTACTATATCAACAGTGAAGCCAAAATCACTTGAAAAGTAAAAGCAAGCAAGCATATTGAGCAGTATGGTGCTGTGCTAAGACTAAAACGTTCCTTTCAGGAAACAAGAGCTGTCAAACAAACCTAGCTCTTGCCCTGCTCCTCTGAGACTGGCAGTGTCACTCTGACAGAGACAAATGAAGGAATTTTTATCTGCTTGAATTTTACAACTCTGGAATACTCTTATGAATCACTAGCTTTAGGAAATCTTTTTTATTTCAGAAGAGAAATAATTTTGCAAGTGGAGTCTTAGTCCACTTGCACTGTTTTTAATATTTCAGATAGGTCTGTCATAAATTTTACTGAAACAAGTTATTTTCTGAAATGTTTATGTTGTAAATTATTTTCAAATTTTACATTCTTAAATTCAGTTGTACTTAGGCATATAGATTTTCACTATTCCCACATCTCTAGGGTTATGTTCCAGATAGTTCTTTGTTTTTCTTGTGGGAGGCTTAGGCTCAGAATGAGCACATTTATTTCTACATCCAAGTGGCCACAAAGCAGGTCACAGGCCAACCTGGATTCAAGAAGTGGGGGAGAATGACTCCTCCCTTAATGGGAGAAGTTCCCAAGTGTTCTTGCAAAGGGCCACGGATACAGGATAAGGTGGCTAACTGTGCCATCTTTACAATTTGTAGTCATTTACCATAAAGTATCTAAGAGTTTTGCCTATAGCTTGTTTATTTAGCAACAATAT